GCTGGGCATGATATGCACGCTTGTAATCCCAGCAGTCAAGACACTGAGGCAGGAGGACCTTGAGTTCCAGGCCAGCCTGAGAAAAGAGTATATACATATATATACTCTTTTTTTGTGATAGGTATTTTTGACATAGGGTCTCATTTTTTACCAGAGTTGGCCTCAGGGGCTGGTGGAGTGACTCAAGTGGTAAGAGTGCCTGCTAGCAAGTGTGAGGCCCTGAGTTAAAAACCCCAGTACTGCCAAAAAAACAAAAACAAAAACAAAAAAAACGGAGGTACAAAATGTGTGGAAGAAATGATGTCTGGGACATGCTTCAAAATAACACCAGTCCTTCAATCTGAAGGCTCAGATTCAACCAACCACAAATTGAGAATATTTATAATTTTTTTTCCTAAACTGGACATTGTAGTGCATATCTGTGATCCCAGCACTCCAGAAGCTGAAGCAGGAGACGCATGAGTTCTAGGCCAGCTTGGGCTATATAAAGAGACCCTATCTCAAAAAAAAAAAAAAAAAGCATTATATTGAATATTCACAAATTTCTCGCCTTTACAATACAGTATAACCCTTATTTACAGCGTATTAGGTATAGTAACTCATCTAGAGATTATTTAAAATATAAGGGATGTGTGCCAGGTGTGTAAGTCTAGCTACTCAGGAGGCAGAGATCAGGAGAATCACAGTGCAAAACGAGCCCTGGCAAATAGTTCTCAAAGCCCTATCTTCAAAATACCCAACACAAAATAGGGCTGGCACAGTGGCTCAGATGGTATAGTGCCTGAGCTCTATAAAGGATGTGTGTAGGTAGGTTATATACATTTGTGTGTGTGTGTGTGTGTGTGTGTGTGTGTGTGTGTGTGTGTGTGTGTGTGTGGTGGCACTGGGGTTTGAACTTAGGGCCTTACGCTTGCTAGGCAGGCACTCTACCACTTGAGCCACTTCACCAGCCCGGTTACCTACAGATATTATGACATCTTATATAAGAGAATTGAGCATCCTAGGATTTTGGTGTCTACTGGTATCCTGGAATTGATCTTCCCATGAATACCAGGGGACGACTGTGGTCCATCCGGGGGAGGGAGGCAGCAACAGGCGAGGCTAGACAAGAGGTCAAGACAACATTGAGCATGAGTTGATTGTTGGCAAGGGTCTGTGGCAGGTATGTGGAATTAATTTTGTGTGTGTGTGTGTGCATGTATTTGAAAATGTTCTTATTAAATGTTTTTAAAAATCTCTCCCTAAACCTCACTCCACCTCCTCCCAGCTGCCTCTGTATTTCCTGTCCAAACTTCCGGAAAGAATTGTCTACACTCGCTGTCAGTACTTCCTCATCTATTCTTGACTCTTAAAGCTTTAGCATGAAAAAATTCAAACTTACAGAATAATACAGGAAAAAAAAAAAAGACAACTAAAATCACTCAGGCTAAAATCCAGCGTCCTCACCCTTGCCCCTAGATCATATAAGTGAGGCCTGGCCACCCTTCTGCCTCATTTCCACTCGTTTTTTGGTGGTACTGGAGTTTGAACTCAGGGCCTCACTTGAGCCACACCTCTGGCCCTTTTTCCTCTGGTTATTTTAGGAGCTAGGGTCTTGCTTTTTGCCTGGGCTGGCTTGGACCATGATCCTATTTTGTTTTTCTTGCTATAGCAGTGATGACAGGCTTGTGTCACCAAGCCCAGCTTTTTTCTGTTGAGATGGGGGTCTCATGAACTTTGAACTCTTTTTTTTTTTTGCCCAGCAGGCCTGGAACTGTGATCCTCCCCATCTCAGCCTCCCTTGTAGCTGAGATGACAGGTGCACACCACCACATTGAGTTATTGATTGAGCTAGGGGCTCTAAAACTTTGATCCTCTTTTTGCCTGGGTTGACCTCACACTGGTATCTTCTTGATCTCAGCCTCCTACATAGCAAGGATTATAGAAGTAAGCCACTGTATCTGGCACTTTTTTTTTTTTTTTTTTTTGCTTCTTGCTAATCAAGCACTCTATTGCTTGACCCCCCACTCCACACCTATTACTTTTATTTGTTTTTGAGACAGAGTCTCTAACTTTTGCTCTGGGCCAGCCTCCTGAGTAGCTGGGATTACAAGTGAGTGAGCACCACCACAAACTGGCTCCCAAGAATCCCCTTCCATCTATGTCCCCATCCAGTCACCTGCCACCCTTGGACTTCTACACCTGCCCCTTCCTTCCTCCCTTCTCTGAAGTGACTATCCATCTTGCAAGTCTTAGCTTACAATGACTACCTCAGGAAAGCCTCCCAGCCTCCAGAACCTGGATCACTGGTTCCTAAAGTTGCATTTGAGATATCACCAGGTCTATTTTATGGTCATACATCTGCTTTAAATGCATGTTAGTAAAGAAAGTAACAAACCCGTTCGGGAGCAAGTGGCTCATACCTGTAATACCAGCTACTCAGGAGGCAGAGACCAGGAGGATTACAGTTCGAAGCCAGCCTCTGGCAAATAGTTTGCAAGACCCTATCTCCCTATCTTGAAAAAAACCCATCGTAAAAAACGGGCTGATGGAGAGGCTCAAGGTGTAGGCCCTGAGTTCAAACTCCAATACTGCCAAAAAAAGTAAGTAACAAACCCATCTCACCTGTGATTTCATGGCTGGCTAAGGGCTAGCCTAGGGTAGCCCCGTGGGAACCCATTAAGAAAAAAGAAATAAACTGTTTGAAAGAACAGTCCTCTGGAGGCAGAGGGAAGATTGCAATTTTGAGGACTGTCTGGGCTATAAAGAGAGACCCTGTCTCAAAAACAAAACAAAAAAAGAAAAGAAAAGAAAGGACAAAGTAAAGGCAGAAATTGTGAACCTGTCCTTTTTGAATCACAGAAGTTGGGAATTCCTTCCTGGTCTCCCACATCCACTGGTTGTAACTACCCCTGGGGAATGATTTGTTTTGTCTTTCCCCACCACTGGGAGGGGAGCCCTATGAGAACAGGGCTGGGCCTGTACTGGTCACTGCTGTGTCTCCAGCACCCATTGTCCTCCCAGGGAGAGCACAGGAAGTCTGTGCTGAATAAACCGATGCAAAGGGTGCAGTTTGGACTTTCCCCTGGGACACTGGAGAGCCATAGAGGATTTTTTTTTTTTTGCAGTACTGGAGTTTGAACTCAGGGCCTACACCTTGAGCCACTCCACCAGCCCTTTTTTGTGATGGGTTTTTTTGAGATTAGGGTTTGTCAAACTATTTGCCAGGACCAGCTTCAAACTGCAATCTTACTGATCTCTGCTTCCTGAGTAGCTATGATTATAGGTGTGAGCCCTAGTGCCCGGCTCCACAGAGGTTTTAATCAGGGGAGAGTCAGGGTTGACTGCTTTAAAATTCCCAGGTTCCCTCTAGGCTTTGGGCCCAGAAAACCAACATTCCTCACACACTAAGTTTCCAATAACATTCTTTTTGTCATTACTGGGTTTGAACTCAGGGCCTCGAGCTTTCTAGGCAAGCTCTCTACTACTTTAGCCACTTTGCCAGCCCTTCTTGCATTAGCTTATTTATTTATTTATCTATTTATTTATTTATTTATTTTTGTGGTACTGGGGCTTGAACTTAGGGCCTTCACCTTGAGCCACTCCACCAGCTCTTTTTTGATATATATATATATATATTTTTCGAGATAGGGTATCATGGAACTATTTGCCCACTGGCTTCGAATTGTGATCCTCCTGATCTCTGTCTCCTGAGTAGCTAGGATTACAGGTGTGAACCACCAGCCCAGATTGTATTAGTTTATTTTTCAGATAGGGTCGCACACTTTTTCCTGGGCTGGCCTCAGATTATGATCCTCCTACCTCTGCCTATGAAGCTGGAAATAGAGTCATGTACCATCATGCCTAGCTTTACCATGCTCCTTCTTCTCTTCTTCCTCCTCCAGGAAGTCCTCTGAAACCCCAGGCTGAAAGGAATACTCTGGGTGCTCTTTGGGTTCTTCCTCTATGATCTGAAGATGAGAACAGATGCTACTCCAAGGCCATGGTGGAGCTGGGTGCCGGTGTCTCATGACTGTAATCCTAGCTACTCAGGAGGCAGCGATCAGGAGGGTATCAGCCCAAATAGTTCAGGAGATCCTATCTTGAAAAAAAAGAGCTGGTGGAGTGGCTCAAGATGAATGCCCTGAGTTCAAACCACAGTACCACAAAAAAAAAAAAAAAGGCTTTGGTGAAGATTTAAGATTCAATGCACTGATGCACATAGAGGGCTCAGAAATTTGCCTGGCATACAGTAAGTGCCTGATAAGTGTTTAACAGGGAGAGGAGGAGGGCCAAGGGAAAACTTTTCTACTGTGAAGGTAATGAGAAAAATAGAAAAGTTTGCTATGGTATAAAATTTTAGAAAAACAACCAGTATTTCATTTATTAAAAAACAAACAAGGGCTGAGTATGGTGGCACACACCTAGAATCCCAGCAGTCAGGAGGTTGAGGCAGGAGGATCGTTAGTTTGGGGCCAGACTGGGCTACAACATAGTGAGACCCTGTCTCAAACAAACAAACAAACAAACCTGAGCCGGCTGGGCATTGATGGCTCATGTCTGTAATCCTAGCTATTTGGGAGGCTGAAATTAGAAGGATGGTGGCTCGAGGCCAGCCTGGGCAAACAGTTCAGGAGACCCTATCTCCAAAATAATCAGAGCAAAATGGGCAGGAGCGTGGCTCAGGCAGTTTTTAGGAACGTGTAACTTGTATGATGTGATGGTGAACAATTGGAATTCTAGAACAGGACTTCCTGGATTCAAATTCCTACAGTGCCTGACTGACAGTTTTGCAACCTCTCTGTGATGCAGTTTCCACACCTATAAACCTGAAATATTGACAGCACCTCCCACCTTCGAGCATCCTCCCAATCTCAATGTGCACATCTGGTTGGCTGCCCCAGTAGGGTTAAGCACCATTTTGACTACTTCATCTTGTAGCTTGGCAAATTCTCCCTCCAGCCATGGGGGACTTTAATAGCCATCTCAAACATGTTGCCCCAACCCTGTGGCAAACTCACATAGAGACAGGGAGAGTCTTTTGAAAAGAGATGCAGAACGGAACAAAAAAATCCCAATTTGGTCTCACTGGTGACAGGCAGTCCACCTCTTTCTCTGCCAAGGGCTCTGAAAACAGAAGAAAAATAAAAGTCAAAGCCCTGCCAACTTTTCCCTCTGTCTATCCAGTTGACTAGAGGCCAGCTTCCTTTCTTAAAGGGACCTCTCCTGCTTTTGACTTTCCTCTTTTCTAAGAGCACTCTGGTAGATCTCTTCTCCCCACACCAAGGAATAGCCCCTCCCACACAGAAAATTAATGCTGAGGCTTGTCCCTGAGTTCAGACCCCACTACCAGCAACAAAACCCGCACACAAAAAAAATTAAGTTTAATTGTACAGTTACTTCTAGATGGCTTAAAGCAATGAATACAGCAGATACTCCTCATCCAGGGTTTTACTTCCCACAAGTTCAGTTACCAGCAATTAACCATAGTCTAGAATATTAAGTAGAAGAATTCCAGAAATCAACCCTCCATAAATTTACAACAACTTTAATTACAGCACATAGTAATAATTGTTCTATTTTATAGTTAGCTACTATTATTTTTCTCTTACTGTGCCTAACTTATAAGTTAAACTTTACAATTTTTTTCAGAGGCACTGGGGTTTGAACTCAGGGCCTCACACTTGCTAAGCAGGTGCTCTTCCACTTGAGCCACTCTGCCAACTAAGTTAAAGTTTAGAACTTTGATAAATGTCAGAATGTACCCCAGTACAACAATAAAACAAACAATCAAATAAATGGAAAAAACTAAGTCAAACTTTATCATAAGTGTGTATGGGCATGTTGGTATACAAATGTAATCCCAGCTACTGAGGACATGGAGATAAAAGGGTCAGGATGGAGGCCAGGCTGTGTAAAACCCTGACACCCTATCTGAAAATCAAACTAAAGGAAAAAAGGCTGGGGGCTCTAGTGGTACAGTGCCTGCCTAGCATGTGCAGGTCCTGAGTTCAAATCCCAGTACTGATTCCTGTTCAAATTCATATATATATATATATATATATATATCTCAGTACCAAACAGTTTCAGGCAACCACTGGGGGTCTTGGAATACAGCCCCTGCAGGTAAGCGGGACAACTGAAAATAAAGCCACTCTCTTGTTTGATCTGGGTATTTATCTCATGGTGCATGAGTTATAATACTCCACAGATGAAGAAATTCATTCCTGGTGTGTCCTCAAAATTCCAGTACCCCTTCAGGGTGCCAGGAATGGAGAACAAGTCAAAAGGTTTTCTAGGGGCAGGAGCAGCAAGGCACAGTGTTGCTGAAGGAGAGGAAATAGCATCCTGTATGTTTATTGGAGTAGGTGATACAAGGTCCAAACTTTACAAAGGCACAAGACGATGTGCCATCCACCCCCCCACCCCGAGTCACTCCCCACAGGCTATGTTGTCACGAGATTTTCTGTGCATTTAACAAGCAAAAGCTTGCATTTTTTCATCCCACCTTTAAAATTTTTAGACACTCTGCTTCCTTCTTTGCCCGCCCCGCCAACCCCTTGTCTGAATACAAAGCTGTTCTGTGTCTGTTCATGTGTCGCTTCCTCCTTTTACAGCTACTTCCTGTCCCCCTGAAGACCGGACCAGTTTATTTAATGAGTCCCTCGTTGATGGACAACCAGGTTTCTGCTTTTTGGTTTTCCTTATAAGTTATTACGGAAAGTAACACTGTCTCCCTTTGGGTAGCGTTTACCAGGGAACAGGAGAAAACCCTAACCTGTTCCTGTATCCGCGGAGAGTCCCTCCATCTCCAAGGTCACAGTTCACTGGAGCAGCGCGTCCCCGGGCCCTGCCTCCCTGAAGCTGTCAGGCGCCGGTCCCCCGCCCTCTGAAGCCACGCCCCGCGGCCCACCCGCAGTCTACCCAATTCAAATCCAGCCAATGGGAGCGTGTAAACAAACCCAGACTCCGCCTCTCGATGAATAATTCCCGGAGTCTGGTGTGCAGCCTATTTAACCGGCCTGGGGACTGGGGGCGGGACCTAGCGATGGCCCCCGCCCCCATGGTTGGGCCAATAGGCGGCAAGACCCCGCCCCTCGCACTTGCCGCGCCTAGGACCCGAAGCCGGGCTGGGCTCGCTGCTGCCTGATTTCACCCGCTCGCGGTGACTTAGCTCCCCGTGGGCGGGCGGGCAAGGCTGGGAGCTCGGGCTGTGCACTCCGCTGCACCAGCCACATTATTCCAGAGGGCACACAGATCGCCCCGGAATCGCTGCCTTCATTTTTCCCCTTTCTTCCTCCGTCTGGTGGCTAAAGCCCAGATCCAGGAAAAGCGTTTGATGAACTCTTTCCCCTCAGTCCCTATTTAGCGAAACCTAGTGGGGAGGTAGGAGTGTGTTGGATTGTGCAAGGCCTTTCGTTTGTCTCCCCTTGCTATGGAGGTATTGCAGACGTACGGAAAATCACGAGTCGTGTGTGCTGCTTGACTGAACCCTAAAACTTTCATGTGACACCAGCACGCCCCCAGATTGAGCAGCAACTTGGGTTGGCAAGGTTTTCAGCTTTATAGCTGCCAGTGTGCGAGGAGCTGCGAAAGATTTTGTTTTGACTTCCACAGGCACAAACCACTTATTTAAAAAACAAAACAACAAAAACCCTTTCCGTGGAGAGGTGGTCATCACACAGATAGCCGGGTAGGACCCGGGCTGCTGGAGGGGCAGGAGGTATAGGCTCAGCTCAGATGGAGGTGCTCTCCAGGCTGCAGGCGGACTTGGGGCCAGGGGGCTGGAGTAGAAAAAGGGCGTCAGATCCCAGGAAAGGACAGCTTTCCGACGTCCTGGACTTTTCCACAGCATGTAAGAATTTTCCCACCGTTCCTTTCCAACTGTTTCATTATAATTAAAATAATCAAATGTCCACACTCATGTTGAGGCTACTGTCACTCGTCGTCTGTTGTCACTAGTTACTCAGGAAAGGCTACCTGGGTGTAGTTGATTAGTTCTCACCCTTCCTGGACAGCCTGGGGAGAGTCTCTGAACCTGTTTCATCTCCCAGTCCAGCTCAGCCTGGGACTTAGAACTCACATCTGATTCTAAAAGGGAAAGGGTGTTTTTGTTTTTGAGATAGGGTCTTGCTATGTAGCCCAGCCTGGCCTCAAACTCCTGCCTCAGGTTCCTGGGTGCTGGATGACAGGAGTGCACCATCACACCCATAGCGGGTCTCTCCATCAGGGTCCATACTGGCCCAACACTGGCCTTTGGCCATCTCCTTTTCATCTTCTGGCCTAAAGGCATTTCTCTCATCTTCCCCAATGCTTCCAGAATAGCACTGGCAACACTTGACATCAACTCTTAAGTCTAGACAGATTTCAAGCATGTCAGGGGCCAGAGCAGAGCAGAAAAGACAAATATTCAACCTCCCAGGCTTTGTTAGCCAAGGCTAGATTTGGGGCTGGGCTTTGCTGGCTCCTCCACACCCACCCATGTTGACTCCAAGTGGCAAGGGCTCAAAATCCTCTCCCTAAGAAGTCAAATGGAGGTCAAGTGTGTATGAGGGGCCAGGCACCAGTCTAGGGGTGGGAGATATACCACAATGTCCCAAAGAAACTTGGAACCTGTAAGGCATAAGCAAGGGGAGAAACTGAGGCCTAGTGACTTGCTTGCTTACTTGCTTGTCTGTGTCGCCAAAGAGATGGTTAGCTGTGTGGGAGGCAGGGACTAGAGAGTGTCTGGCCATTAATAACCTGGGTACACCCTGGTCAGAAAGAAAGCATTTCCTGTATGAGCCTGTCAATCCCAGGACTGGCAGCTATGATGGATACACAAGTGCCACCCAAGTCAGGTTCCATTATACAGTAAATCTTCAGCCCAGGTTAGGGCTCCACTTCCTGTTGTGTGACCTTGGGTATGACCTTGGTCAAAACACTTCCCCTTAAAGGAATCAATTTTGTTTTCCTACACTATAAGCAAAAGGTCTCTACCCTGTGGGAGTTCTGATTAGAAACCACTCATCACCCCTTAACAGTCAAAAATACAGCTCAGCCCAGCAGCACCAGTGGCTCATGCCTTTAAGCTTAGCTACTCAAGAGGCAGAGATTAGGATTGAGGTTCCACATCTGCGCTGGCAAATAGTTCCCAGACCCCATCTCAAAAAAACCCATCACAAAAAAAGGACTGTTGGAGTGGCTCAAGGTGTAGGCCCTTAGTTCAAGCCCCAGTACTACCAAAAAAAAAAAAAAAAAAAAAAAAAGCACAGCTCAATCCATTGGGGTGGACTACATACACAGTAAGGTGAATTACTGTTTTCCAGAGGGATCCCAGTGGGCCATGAAGGGCCAAATATGTAAGTTTAAGAAATTTTTTTGGACTGGAGGCATGGCTCGAGTGGTAGAGCAGGAGGCCCTGAGTTCAATCCCCAGTACCCTGGGTCTCACTATGTAGCCCAGGCTGGCCTCCTTCAATTTTGCTGCCTCAGCATCCATGGTGCTGGGATTACAGTTGTACACCACCACGCCTGGTTTGGGATTAAGTTTTCATTTAGTCACCATTGACAATGCTAACAGCAGCACTTCCTGTTAGGTGTTGTTCTCTACAGCTCATCCCTCCTAATAAACTGATGAAAAGGAACCTATTATCAGCACCATTTAAAAATTTTTATTTGCATAAATTGTACCAAAAAGTTTCATTGTGATATTTACGACATGCACAGAATGTACTTTGATCAAATTCATCCCATCTATATTACTTTCTTAACCATCCTCCCTCCTCTTTAACAAGTGCTCAGTGGCTTTACACACGGTAATCCTACTAACACACACCTCTCCCTTCAACCTCTCCTTTCCCATCATCAGCATATTAGAGATGAGAAATGGAGGCTCAGAGAAGTGATGTAAATGACAGGACATCACACAGCAACGCAGTGGACGCAAAAGCAGGATATAAACCAGGAGTTGAGTAGCTTGAATCAGGAACCTCTCTGGTCTCACAACTAAAAATTCAAAAAACGTATGCTTGGGCTAGTGGAGTGGCTGAAGTGGTCCTAGCAAGCGTGAGGTCCTAAGTTCAAAACCCAGTACCATCAAAACTCCCCCCAAAACACCAGTACCCTTAAGTAAATATTGTATCACCAAGAGTCCAGGATAAATGCTAAGATTTACAATACACAGATTAACCACTCATTTATTCCACACGCACTCATTATGCACCTACTGTGCGCACCAGGCTTCCTAGGGCCCTGGGGAGACAGAGAACTAAGAGACCAGACTCTGACCCCCTGGCTGTGCGCCCCGGATCCCCGGGTCCCCGGGCCCCCCGCGCCCCGCAGGGCACAGTGGGCGCTCACCGGCGATTCGTGCGCGAACGCGGGAGTCCGAGCGTCCCGCCGGCGAGGCGTTCCGGCCTGTTGGTGGCGGAAGCTGCCCCGACACCACCGAAGCCGCCGGGAATCTATCGGCGCCGCCCCGGTGAACACAGACTCAGGTGAGTGAGTGTCCAAGGTCCCCGCCTGTCGCCCCCAAGTCCCCATCGCCTTCCACCCTATTCGGACACGGCCTGACTCCTCCGCTGCGCCACCTCCGAGGAACCCCCCACCACCATCCTTGTCTCCGCTCTCTTTGAACCTTCGACACTCGCTTTGGGCGCGTCCTCCCGCCGGGCCACCGTCCCCCAAGGCACACTCTGAGCGCACTGCGTCCCCTCCCCAGGCGAGCCGGGCGAGGGTCCTGGGCGCGCGAAACCCTTGACCTTCCCTCCCACCACCAAGAGCCCGGCTCTCAGCAGGCAACAAACTGCACGCGAGCCGGTGCAGGCGCACCGCAAGCCAGGGGTGGTTTAGAAGGACGGGGCGGGGCTAATGCATAAGGAGCCCTCCTCGGAACGCGTGGCTTCCTATTGGCTATTTGGCCCGCCGCTCGGCCCCGCTGTGCGGTGGCTGGTTAGCCTAGGCGTGGGGGGCGGGGTGTACTTAAGCCCAGCCCCCGGTAAGGGCGGAGGGAAGAGGAGGAGGAGGAGGAAGAGGAGGAGGAGGAAGAGGAGGGGGGGCGGGACACAAAAATCTGCAAAGGTTTTTTTTTTTTCTTTTGCATTTAATTAAAAAAAAAATTTTTTTTTTTTTGCACACCCGAGGGGCGCTCCCCGGAGCGGGCGCGGGCCGGGGCGCGCGGGCCAGCGCGGAGTGGCGGCGGGCCTGGGCGCAGCTGAGCAGCCGCCATGCGATCAGGCAGTGCGCTGACCGGCCCGGCTGGCCGGCCCCTTCTGGGTCCTCCCTGTGCAGCCCGTGCGGGGCCGTCCCGGAGACCCCGCGCCGACGGCTGCTCAAACATCAGGGTGAGTTTCTCACAATGTAGCAATTTCTCTTTAAATCTCTTAACTCTCTCTACCTGCGAGTCGGGGCTGTGACAGGGCGCAAAAGCGAGGGGGGAGTGGGGGTTGGCGGCGAGGGTGTGTGTGGGGGGAGCCGGAGCCGGGGCCGAACCCACCCCCCCGACACTCACACTCTCAGCCCCCCAACCGGGGCGCAGCGCCCGCTGCTTTTTTTTTTTTTTTTTTGCCCGGCGCCCACCACCATCCGCACCCCCCCACCCCAGGTCTCTCCCGCCACCGCCGCCGCCCCGATTCTGCGGGGACCCCCCCATACACCGGCGCCCCTGCCTAAACCCGGCTCCGGGTGCCTCCCCGGCCCTCCCGTCGGCTGCCGGGGATACAATGGAGCGGCGGAGAAACGAGACCTAACGTTCCACGGGGGGAGGGGCGGGGACCCCCCCTCCGCCTCGGGGGACCCCCTCCTCTCGCCCTGCTCCTCTCCTTTAGGCGAAGACGAGGACAGTGGGGTACCGGGTGGTGATTTTCCGGCCGGAGGCGGCGAGCCTCCATCTCCCCCTGTCGC